GTCAGCGTTCGTCGTGCTGTTGCTCTGGAACGCTGACGATGCCGGTTCAAGTCCTGCCCGAGTCGAAATTTTTTTACCATTTATTTTCGATTTTTAAATTATATTATTATATGTATATATAAATTAATAAGAGCAAAAAATAAAGGGTTAAAAAAATACAGTATAAACAATTTAAGAGCGAGTGGCACAAAACACTTAGAGAAAAAGCCTTTTTTTAAATAAGCAAAACAATGTCTGTAAATGAGATTTTCAAATTATAACTTACGTTTATTTTAGAATCAATCCATGCAACATTATATCGACTATACGATACTGGAAATTCGTTATAATTTTCCTGTTTATGCAGGTTATGGGAGGTAGCAGAAATAATTATACGATTAATACCATTATGTGCATATCTGCGGTTATGCTTATTAGTAATTACATACGTTGGATATATTCAGGTGTTTTTCTTCGTAATAAGAAGCCTTTATACGCTTCAATTAAAGTAATACCTATCCATGAAAAAATAGAACTTACGATCTTAACTGAAAACTTCACAAACAATTTTACTAAACTAAAGAAAAACTGTGATTCATATTACAACAACCTATATTGTAAAAGGACCATCTTAAGTCTCCCCGTAACCGCGGCTGCTGCAAAGCATCCGAAACGTCGGGTGGAAATTAAAAATCATTTTCAAATAAGTTTCACTAATATATCGCGTTTTGAACCGTTAAAGTGTTTTATTTAAATAAAACTATTACCAAATAGGATAAAAGGATCACTATGGGTTCGAATTAAAAAAATCTTCTTGTCTTAGAGTATTTATCGAGTATGGTTATAAGGCTATAAAACATCGTCCTGTAACTAATACACGGAAGATACACCGAGAAATGTGAAAAAAAAATTGTTTTATAGCCTTTCACAATAAATACTCTTATCAACACAAAAAATATTAATTTTAATTCGATTTGGGAGTTCCTGAGATTAGCGCCTTCAAACAAATAAACTCTTCAGCCCTATATATTAGTAAAGTGTAATGAGACGAGGACGTTACAGAAAACGTAGAATGTTTACGCCTTTTAATATGTTAGAAAATAAATGTAAAATTTTGAATAAATAAATAAAATTATTGGTGTGGAGATTATGAGACCCAGGGGTCAAATCCAGTAATTTGTTTGTTTTTTACAACTTGAGTAACTGTCTAGACCATACCATTTCGGTGCTTTGGCAGTGGCAGATCTTATTACACCTATATTCGAACAGGACGTTAAGCCAGCGGCTCCAGTCATCATCACTAGTTTAGTGACGATGGTAGTTAAAAACTCCGCCTACCCACACATAAGCAACGTAGTATGACTGACCTATGCCCAGCTGTGAGATTATATTATATGTAATATTGTAATTATTTTATTGCAAATTAAATAAATACCTAATCAATGAATCTGAGGCCATATTTATAAGATTATAAAATTACATAAACACTTGTGTAAGACCTCTTTTATAAATTTCTAAAAAGTTGTGATTGAAACAAAGAACTAAAAAAAACAAAGACAAAGAAAATTTTACCTTGTATCAAAGGCGTTCAAATTAGCTAATCGCAATATACTATACTTGTACATACTCCGTACAACAAATAAACGGTTTTCAAATGATTTGAATTTATAATTATTTAATTTACGTATTCCAATACATATTTACAGCTTCGCAAACTGGATCAAAAATAAAATTAACATAATCTTAAAGGAACCAGTTCCGTTCCTCGTTTTATTAACTATTAATAAATTAGTAATTACAATACACGAGGTACGATCATACAATAAAATTAAGCAACAAAGTAATGTAAATACGTTTTATACAAGAATTTGTATTATTTTATATGTTTATAGATATTTCCAAGATTTAAAAACAAAAGAACAATGCCCTACAGCTTTGTTCTCGCCTGTATATTGACAATGCAACAATGTACAACCTGTTGTGCCTACCGTACGGTTCTCGTGACCTATAAAGACATTGAATAATAATAAGGAATTTTAAATAGGCAAGCGATTAATTTCGAATTTCGATCGCGCTGTTCGATTATCTGTGGAATCTCCATCCGATAATGCATCCGATTATTATTATCAAATTATCAATAATAGTTTTGTTCTCAATTCAAATTACAATCGACCCACTAATCGATTTATACATCGATAACAAACGCATTACTAGATTTCACTTTTACAAAGTTTTTGACAAGTATGTTTATGACTTTATACAAATTAAAAATCCATTTTAGATAGAGAAAATTTTAAGACACGTGCAGTGCTTGAACCAGCATCGAGAGCGACCCATGCTGTTGCAAACCAATTGGCGATGCGCTGCGAATTCAAGTCCAGCCCGTGTCGTGATTTTTACAATCTAAATTTAAAATTAAAATCGATTTTTAATATAAAGCCATCATGTGCCATAACGTGAAAAATATTAAAATTTTCAGACTTTATACACTTGATGTACGTATTTATCGTATACAATTTTAGTCCTAAAAATAATAATGATTTAAAGTGTAACCTTGGTGCATTGTTGTACGTAGTATATATAATGGTAGTGTCTTAAGTAATGTCAAATATTATTTTCCATTAAATTTATATGGAAGCCAGAAATTACAAATCTTTTTATAACTAAAAGTTAAACAAGATTTAATGACTCAGTCAAAGCTAAAATAGTAGGAGGAGGAGCGATCTCCTGAGCCCTGTTTAATATAATGATAGACAAGACAATCCGTACCTGTTTTATGAAAAGGTAGGTATATGGCCTCAGTCGTGCACAGGTTTGTGCAGTATTAAAACAAGACCAATTATTTAAATAAAAAGGTTTAAAATACGCTATATATTAGTTAACCTTATTTTATCGTGTTTTAAGCCGTTAAAATGTTTTATTTAAATATGTACTACTAACCTAAACTAAGACCAATTAGGTATTTTTGTTTTTAATAGGTGTACGTAAGACAAAAGAAATACATTTTACAATATGTTGTATGCAGAACAACTGTTTATATTAGGGTTTTAGAACGTTCAAAGTTCAAAAACATCCTCTACAAACAACAAAAATTTCCTCTTTGCTTTAACAAGTACATTTTTTATTACGGATACATGAAGTAAATAAACCACCTGTTTGGTCATCGTTTGATTTGTGACGCACATTAAGAGCAAATATAATATAGTAATTTAATTTAAACATGGGGGTGTTTATTCAATTACGACCTACATACATAAATAATTTAATTTGTATCGTTGCGGGGCATATTTCATAATATTTTTTATACACGGCAGGGGAGACCAGCATGAGGTTCCCTTGATAGAAAGTGAAAAATTCACCCATACATATTCAACATCTAAATAAATGTGCTGTTGATGTTTACCTTTGGAAATCCAAAACTCCACAGAGAGAAACTGAAACGCGATTACATTTACTGTTTTTCCATTTTTGGTTCGTGATCCGAACGAAATATGGACCATGGAGTCTCACCGCCCATTCAATGATCAGATTTTCCACGCGGATTTAAACCTGTTCGGAAAATCTGAACGTGGACGTGGAAAATTAGAGAACTATAGTTAAATAGTTAAATGTGCTGCATGCTGTAGTCTCAGGAAGTCTGATCATAAAAGTTGAATCAACTATTTGTTTGTAAATAACATCGATCAGTGAAACGAACATAGTATGTGCTCCCCCCATGCCCCACTGGGGGAATGGGATTTCACTTGTCAGGTGGATCCGACAACCATACGGGCCCCCTAAAAATTTTAAGTGAAAAGTGAAATGTTATTATCGAACTTCAGCCGCATCTGACCTTTGAACCGACGAGTTCGTAAAACGTATAATATTTACGTATTATAATACGTAGTCGGCAGTGTCGTCAAGGTTTCAAACACACCCATTGCGCTCATTTTTTACTCGCATTTGCTATCGATCGCACGTCGCACAAGTGTAGTGTTGCATTTTCCGCGCACCAACCTCGCGAATACAATTACGATTTTCTCTTAGGAAAATATTGAAAAATGTACTCGGTAGCCGAGGTCACGTTGGCATTTGTTGTGCTTTACTTATTTTCTTTCCTCTTCGAAGTGGTAACGGGCTTAGTATCGTAGTTAGAGATGAATAGTGATTTTAGTATAAGATAGTTAATTTAAATTTAAAGTAATATTTTTTAAGATTTCTTAATTTGATAAGTGCAATATTTTTTTTGTCTTTGTTTGTGCGATGTTCGTGTCTGCTAGCGGAAAATATTAGTGTTCTGGTAAGTGTAAATTTAATTACCCTGAATATCAGTAGATATTAACTAAAAGTAATGAGTAATAACTGAAAAAAATCAATATGTAAATAGCAACTGAATTGGGTCATACAGTAAGTGTATCTATTTTATAAAAATGTATGCATTTATTAGCTACTAATTTGTAAGCTATTTTTAGGGTAGAAAAAAGTTTTTACAATTAAAGTGGGTTGGTTGTATATGATCACAAAAATATTGCTGTTTTAGTCTTTTTTTAAATTTATGTGCTAAAAGGATATCATACTACTAATTAACTGGATTTGACCTACCTATTTACGATATTAATATTAATAATCAAAATGGAATTATAATAGTTTATATTTAGATACTTACTAAATGCTCTGTTAATAATGTTTCTATATTGTATTACCTGAAATTCTGAGAAAAGATTATCTTACAAAAAGTATACAATTCAGTAGTTTCGTTAAACTTCTAGTATCGATAAAATTAGCGAAATTTAAATTTAAATACAAATTCAAAAACATTGTTTTGTTTACTTTTTCAATACATTTTAATGTTGCCATCTATCACCATCAAATTGACACCGTTATATATGACAATTTAGACGTGTCAACTGTCAATTTTCTTTCTATCAGCTGTTTGCTGTTTCTTATGAGAGATTGCATTGCTTAGTGATTTCATCCTTACAATTTATTTAAAAATGTATGCATAAGTCATTTGTATTTTGTAGATATATTATAATACAAAGATGAGGCCCCGGTTATGTAAATATTTCAAAATCCACAAGCGTTATTCTTCAAATGTGGCGAAGAAGTGGCAAAGTGTTGTTGGTTTAGAAATTCACGCGCAGTTAAATACCGAATCTAAATTGTTTTCTGGTGCTCAAAACACATTCGGTGGCTTAGTGAACAACTGTGTGTCTCTATTTGACGCCGCTATACCGGGAACGCTGCCGGTACTAAATAGGAAATGTGTTGAACTGGGCGTATTAGCAGCTCTTGCTTTGTCTTGTAAAGTCAACGAAATATCAAGTTTCGATAGAAAGCATTATTTCTATGCTGATTTACCGGCGGGATATCAAATAACGCAACAAAGAGCGCCCTTAGCAAATGACGGTGTTATACATTTTCAGGTATATTGCTTACTGTAACAATATATGTTCAAACAATAAAATGAAGTAATATGTTGTGACTTATAACCTTGTACCTTTGATCATTATTTTTCCATCTTAGTTGGGTTAAAATGTAGCAAATTTTGAAACAAATGTCAATTTAAGGAATAAAACATTTTTAATATGAGTACTTTTTTTAATTATGGCAATTTTTATATTTGTTTCAGGTATACACGCCAGGAGTTCACAAAAAGCCATACAATAAGACTTCAATCATCAAACAAATCCAGTTAGAACAGGATAGTGGTAAATCACTTCATGACGCAGAATTAAAACAAAGCTTAGTAGACTTAAATCGGGCTGGTGCACCCTTGATTGAAATTGTTTTGGAACCTGACTTAGAGGTGAGATTTTTTGAATTTATTATTACAATTACTGTTGAAACTATTATTTAATTATTGTTATAAATAAAGCAATTATAAACAGTTGTAAGAAGTGTTACACTAAACATCTGTAGCCTTTACTTATATATTTATGCTTATCTAAATTTTCTATAGGTTATTTAAAATAAGTTAATTGTTATATCAGAAAAAAGGTCCATTCTGGCACAAGTTTGACTTTTGTAGACAGTATAAATTCTATGTCCTTTTTATCAATGGCAATTTTTTTAAATACAATATCAATATTTAGTTTTTGTATATCTGGTTAATCTTTATATGTAACAGTTTAGAAAGTCTTTTGTCTCATTTCAGGATGGCGAAGAAGCTGCGGCTCTTGTTAAGGAATTAGTTTTAATTGTTCAACGGCTGGGGGTATGTTCTGGTCGTATGGAAGAAGGTGCGTTAAGAGTAGATGCAAATGTTTCTATCAGACGCAAGGGAGAGCCTTTGTCTACCAGGACAGAGGTAAATAAGAAAGACAGTCAGAGTAGATAAGTTAACTTTTCAAAACATTTGTCACGCGACACAAAACGCTCCTGTTTGGTCGGGTTTATGACGACGTCACTTGCTTATAAACCACTGTACTTTCTAGTGTTGAAACAGTTCTACTTCTGCATTAATAAATACATTTGTAACGTAATATGGTGGATTTTTACTTGATTTATTTCAGCAAATATGTATCAGAATTCAAAAATACTACTTTTTGGGGTTCCTTAATATCTACCAAATATAAACATCAATCAAATAGCCCATAGTGTGTGACAATTTTAGAGGAACGAATTTACTCGAATCTTTATCATTATCCTCAAAATAATCATTTGTTATATAGAATACTTATTTCTACTTTCAGATTAAAAATATCGGTTCCATCCGTGGTGTAGCAAATGCAGTGCGGCATGAAATAGATCGTCAGCAAACTGTACTTGAAAATGGCGGGAAAATTGTCAATGAGACTAGAATGTGGGATGCCACAGCTAAGGTCACAGTGCCTATGCGAGACAAAGAAGTAGTCCAAGATTATAGGTAAGCTTGCATAGATTATAATTACAGAGATAAATAGACTAATGATACTGTAGATTATACTATTATTGATTATATCGGTTTGCTTGATCATATTTATTTTATATCATCAGGTGGTTTTTTATTTTTACGATTAATGATAACCAGCGTGGGATTCACTTGACGGATGGTGAAATACTCTTGACATGTAACATCTAAACAACATGCGTGTCGACCTATATATTAGGAAACTTTATGTATGCAGAAATCTTCTAGACTGAGGCCGAAACGCGATTAAACGGATGTTTTCATCTGTAGACGGTGTTTACGGGGTGACTCAGGTAAGAATTTCAATAACTAGGCGACTATTGAAATGCCTCGCAGCAGCCGTCGTCCGTTGATGACACGTCTGCAGCAAATACGTTTAAACTGGTAAGATATAAACCCACGTACCCCCCAACCCCGTTATTAGCTATACAATGCTACATTAGACTAACAAATCCGCCATAAACTATAACAAAGCAACGTTTAATGTTTATATTAACTGTAACTTTAGTAGCTTTATTTTAATATTTGTAATGTTTAAACTATAAAGTTGAGTTAATTGTTTTAATTACTCTTGTCTTGTTTCAGGTATATGCCAGAACCGAATCTTCCACCGCTCCGACTCAATTTAACCACCAGAGAAGATACACAAGACGTTATAAGTGTACCACTAGTCAAAGACAAGATTCCCGAACTACCCGCAGAAAGCAGAACGAAACTAGTCCATGACTTTGAACTCCGCCCAGAAATAGCCATACAGCTTGTAAACGAATCGACTCTTTTGGGTTTCTTCAACGAATTGACCGCAGATAAACAGAGAAATCCAACAAAAGTCGCAAATATTCTGCTAAATGATCTCTTGACTGTACTTAATAAACATAAAATTGATGCAAGCAACTGTACTATTCCCGTAAAACAATTATCCGAATTAATAGATTTGCTGTTGCAGAAGAAAATTAATCTGAACGTCTGTCGGAGTGTTCTAGAAGAAATTATAAATAGTCCGGACATTTCTCCTTTAAGTTTAGTGATGCAAAAAGGTTGGTTACTTCTCACAGATGAAAAAGAAATAACTGAAAAGTGTTTAAGGGTACTCGAAAACAATCCAGCACTAGTGAAACAGTATAAAAGAGGCAAAATTAAAGTTTTGAAAACTTTATTAGGTATATTGAAAAATTCGGATAAAAAACTCGATATGTCTTTAGCGTCTAAGAAAATGGAGGAATTGTTAAAAAAATAAACATATGTAAACTTTTTGTGTATGTATTTTTTTTCTGCTTCATTGCTTTTATTTTTTAAGTGTTATTAAAGCATGCCAATTAACTATAGATATAGATATCCCTTGTTAATATCCTTACAATAAACATAGAAGAATTCCACTTTATTTGCTAGATAAATAAAAAAAAACATTTTTCGAGCATAGAAAACTATCATTTACCACTACTCATTGTTAATAAAACAAACAAACTTAATCAAAATTAATTCTTCTTCATCTTTTAAATAAAACACTTTAACGGTTGAAAACGCGTTATTTATTAGTTAAACTGATTTGAAAATTATTTTTAACTTCGGCCCGACGTTTCGGATGCTTTGCAACAGCCGCCTCCCCGTGGCCACGACCGGCCAAAGTTAAAAATCATTTTCAAATAAGTTTAACTAATATATCGCGTTTTAAACCGTTAAAGGGTTTTATTTAAATGTGTACTACTCGCGTAAACTGCGGACAGTATTTTATTCTTCATTTATTAAGAATTCGCACATCTCTCACAAATGTTTACAAATAAAGAGACGGCAATTTGTCACGAGAGAATGCTGTCAGATATTTTGTATTTACGGCTGCACTAGGTACGAAGGCCGATTGTTTAATCGCGGTCGTGCGCCCTGAATAATACAAACGACAGAGATCACAAACATTTTTCAAGTAATCTAGTTTTTTCTAAGAAATGCTTCCAAGACAAAGTTATTTCACATTTTATTAATATTATTTGCATGTTATTGCACATGAAGGCACTATATAATTTAAAAATCGAAAATAAATTGAAAAAATTTTCGACTCGGGCAGGACTTGAACCGGCATCGTCAGCGTCCGTGCCGTTGCTCTACCAATTGAGCTACCAAGTCCTACACCTCATCGTCGAATTTTTCAACTTATTGCACCTCTGAACCTTAATATACAAGTGTTGAAATTACATTGCGCGAATGGATGGATAAGTTACTTTGTATTAAATGTTTATTTTTCATAGGAAAGGTGCATATCACAATAAAAACATAAATGCCATATTCGTTTTACGTTTTTACACGACTTGAAGTTTGATTTTGTAGTTTTATAACCGAATTGTTTGATTCACACGAAAAAAGGTATATGACCCCTGCCAACCCTCAAATCACAAACAAGGCGAAAGCGATACATCTTTAGACACGTGTAATTACATCAGGACTCAACGGTACCTCATTACGCCGCCAAATCTACCCCAAAGCACAACTTCAAAATGTGGAGAATTTCAATAACTGTAATTAGTTTCCTAAACCAACTGTCAGGAGAAATTACTGCACCAGGCATTGATAGAACAATAAGTGATGGAGTTACGAGTGTTGGATACAATTTAGTATACGGTGACGAAGACTTTGCAGTAATCAATGAAGTGGTTAAGGATGAAGAGAAAATGAATGCTCTAAAGAGTAAAATCAACTTGAACGAGCATCTACCACCGCTTCCAGCTCAGGACGTGAAATGTTTAATGTCTGTGGATAAATATTGTACTAAATCCATGCGGGATATGAAAAGTAAGACTTTGCATTCTTTATTATAATGTTGTCCTTAGACTAGACTATTTTTGTAAGTAATGAAATAGAAAATTTAAATACTTGGTATTATAGCGATAATGGTATAGATTTTTATAAAGCTGAAAAGTTTATTTTGTTTGGTCGAATTTAATAATCTTCTTTTGAAAAGACCATTTGTCGTGAAACGAAAAACATCACGCTGCGATCAGTAGGAGCGGAGAAACAGTGGGAGATGTGTGGGAAAAGAAGGAAAAAACGAGGAAATTTATTCATATATGAGGAATTCCGTTGAGATGTTGAGGAAACGGTTCAAGAAATATAAAATAATTTTAAAAAGTGTACACGAAAGTATATCTATCTTGTACGATTAACTGATAAATACTGATTTTATGGCATTCATATTTAGTCGAAATATTTCATATGGCAAAAGAAACTTTGCCAGGTTCATTAGCAATAAAGAAATAAACCGCATAATGTTTATCTGCATTATTATCTGCAGGTGTTTTAATAGAAGCATTAAAAGACGACTGCGCCAAATGTTCGAAGGAACAAAAGGAAAGCGCGGGAAAAGTGGTAGCATCCATGATGGCGCACGATCCTGCCGCGTGGAAGATGTTCCTGACAAGGTACGATGGTCTTCAGAAAGCTCAGAGGATTCTAGGATAGATATATATGTAAGAGCACTGTGAATAAATGTATATTAGCTATACTATATTTCATTATTATTGTTTTAACATTATTTGTGTAATTTATAACAATATGAAGAAGAAGAGTTTGTTTGTTTGTTTGAACGCGCAAAACTCAGGTACTACTATCAATCCTTTTGGGATTCCGTTGCGTTCTATATACCCAAAAACTATGTATGGAAGAATGATTCCTCTCGAAATGATCTAAAAATGTCCGCAACGCTAAATAAGTATTTATCTTTTAAAATTATCTTGCAAGAACGACGGGATGCGGGCGATGTCGTGGGTCACAGCTTGTATTTATAGAGAAATTTGTGCCCTAAATATTTATTTACGCGGACGTGCACAGCTAGTTTTTAATTGTTTTATTACCTTAATAATATTTCTATACTTATTTAATAGGGCTGAAAATAGCTGTAACTCCGAGTATAGATTAAAAATATATTAAGATGTAAATAGAACAATCTAAATATTAAATAATGTCCATAGTTTACGCGAATAGTACACATTAAATAGAATACTTTAACGGTTTAAAACGCGATATATTTGCAAAGCATCCGAAACGTCGGGCCGAAGTTAAACATTATTTTTCAAATAAGTTTAACTAATATATCGCGTTTTAAACCGTTAAAGTGATTCTATTTAATGTGTACTACTCGCGTAAACTATAGACAGTATTTAATTGCACATTTTTTTTTCCTCCTCATTGAAAATCATGTTTTTTGTTATTAGGGCATTCTCCTTCTAGATGCAAGCCGCCTCATTTTACATCTCTGCCTCATATTTATTATTTCATCGTTATTCACAATATTTGTAATAATTCTTCTAATCCTTACCTTCTTCTTAATCCAAGAAAGATTGTAAATAAAATCATTTTTATTTCTTCTTTCCGTGTTAGGAATTCTGCTCAGCACTGAATTCTTAATTAAAACTGTTTAACGTATTCTAATAGTCAACATTTTAAATTACAGGTCATCACTACAAATGTTACCAGAGAGAAAAAAACCAAAAGATGAGAATCATAGATATAAAATTATAGGCGACCCAGAGGAAATAGTGAATTCAAGAAATAGATATACAAAGCCGGGTGTTAAGGTTAGAGTAAAGAGATATGTAGTGGAAAGGGTTGATTAGAATATCCATAGTGTAGAGTTTTTTCCACAGTTTTGTATAAATTAGATATAATTCTCTTGTCTTTTGATTATCTATGTTAAAAAGTGTTACCTGTATGATTTAAAATAGGCGTTTACTATCTACATTTAATATGTGTGTATAGACAATAGAAGTAGAATATTGTATAATATTTAGTAAATACTTATTTCAAAGCAATGCCATTTTAAAGTTATTTGTTTTGTATTTTTTAATATAAGACTTAACCTTATGATAGTTTTAATATTTAAATAAAACACTTTAACGTTTAAAACGCGATAAATTAGTAAAATTGATTTGAAAATGGTTTTTGAGACTTACCCGTGACCACGGCTGCTGCACAGCATCCGAAACGTCGGGCCGAAGTTAAAAATAATTTTCAAGTCAGTTTAACTAATATATCGCGTTTTAAACCGTTAAAGTTTTTATTTAAATGTGTACTACTCGCGTAAACTATAGAAGTATTTATTTTAATATGTTTAAGCTTAAGCCATGATTTAAATTAAATATATTTATTGTAACAGTTTTTCACTATTCTTTACTTACTGTAAAGAATTAAAGTTTTGGAACTTAAGTAACTACGACCTAATATGGTCATTATACGATTCTAGCTTGTTGAATTTTTTCGCAATATCTTAAATAAAAAGTATTCCTATGAATCCCAATTTATTATTCTATTCAGCGACTTTCGTAACATCCATTAATATAGCTAGCCGTTTACGCGTAGGAGTTTTGGTATAACACGCATTCAAAGTTTGATTACTGTGAAGATTCTATTGGGTTCTGATTTTTCTTAGCCAAGTATTGAAGTCGGTAACTGCCGTCGGGATTGAATCTGAAAATATTCAAACATTTAAGAAAAACTCTGAGCAAAAACAACTGAGTGTTACATAACTAAGTTTAGAATTATATTAGTAAATTCCATTGTAAAAATCCATCAATTTTTAAGTAACTTACGAAGCCTAAAATTAATTACTTACTTATAGAATTTATGTTTAAAAATCTTTTTATTTTCTGTTCAGAAGAAAACCAAACCTAAAAAAAACACCTAAACCGCTATAAAAATAGTTTAAACAACTAAAATATTTTTGCAAATAGACTCCGAAGCTTACTCACAAAGTAGTTTACCTAATTACGCATTAAATAAATCACTTTTAACGGTTTGAAACGTGCATTATGACTTTATTTGCATTTTCCAGCACGTACTGTAACTTTCGCGTTTTAAACCATTAAAAGTGTTTTATTTTAAAATACTCTTGTTGCGTGGTATTTTATCGTTTACCTACAATCATATGTAAAACTAAATCTTTCACTTATTGAACAAAGTTAAAAACTATTGCTATTTCCATATCTCCGGGTTTTATTGCTATGTTAGTATGAATTTAAAAAAATGCAGGTGTGTATTATAAAAAGGAAAGTTGAGCAACAGTCACACACATCGACATTTAAGATGATTTTTCATCCATGTCTTGACTTTTTTAAGGCTACTTACTTTTCTTCCAACTTAGCCCAGTCATTCGGCCTATTGTCTATAATGTATTCCATCACTCTATCCGCCCCTTCACGTTGTCTGATGCTGCATTTTTTACAATCATTTTCGATGGCGTCAGGAAGATTTTCTAGAATTAAAAAGCGTCCATTAATAAAGAATCCTACGGGCTCGCTGGTACAATGTAAGTAATATAATAATAATAATGAACTAGTCTTGGGTTCGATTACCAACGGGTTTCTTATCGATATATACATATTTTGAAATTGTGTTTGTGATAGCAATCCACTATCCGCAAGTGTAATACTCTCTTAACCGTGCGTTTCACTGAGATATCCGGCTCGAAGGACCCCCATGTTTATCTGTCCTCCTTTGTCGTACAAAAAGAAAGCTTTAAAAATAAAGATACTCTTCGAAACATTAATTTTCAATTCGTTCAATTGAAATCTCATTGCAGTTCAGTGGTACGGGGAGCGGACATATTTCTGAGTCTGTTTCACTGTTATTTTCCCTACAACACTCTAAACTGTGCCGACTGAAACTATTGTGTTATACCGAGACTCGAATGCAGCACCGCGTTTACTATTGACCCACGAGAGCGAATCATATTTGATGTTAAGCAAAAGCACAATAATAACATTTTGCTAACACAATATGACTTAAATCAGACCACTGCATCTCACATTCAAAATATACTACGTACTTTGATAAATTTGGAGTCGTACAAACGTATTCCCAGGGCTCCATCAAAGCACGGTAGAGGCTGGTGGTGTGTTTAGTGGTTCTGGTCGTCTTACCACACTCCCCATGCCACTATTGCCCGATGTAGGCGTACATTAGTCGTTTACAGCATCAGTTAAAAAAAAGTACTTTGATCAAAACTTACTCCTTAATTCTTTGGCGTCAGGTGTACACGGTCCTATATCTAATAGACAGTTTACGTAGCCATTGAGAAGTCTCTCGCTGGATAAGACTTCATCTAAATTTACTTCGTCATATTTTGTAGTATAGGTGGAATTTTCACAGCTGCATATTGCGAAAAGCAGGACAAGTACCAAAGCCTTCATTGTTTCCTGTAACGTCTTTTAAAAATTGAAATTTTGTGCGTGAGTGTACCTTTATGTCTAATTGGCTGTGCCCGCGATATCGTCGGCGTATGTTGGGCATCTAAATTTGTTTTGAACGACCCCCCCCCCTTAAGTGTTACCCACGACGTCGTCCGCGTCCCATCACTTTCGCAAGATAATCGAAAATAAGTTGTGAAAATTTTCGATTCGGTCAGGACTTGAACCGGCATCGTCAGCGTTCCGTGCTGTTGCTCTTCAAAAAAAAATGTTACAATTTATTTTCGATTTTTAAATTATATAGTGCCTTCATGTGCAATAACATGTAAAAAATAATACAGATTTCAAACACATAATTTTTCAATTCAATGCAGTAGTTTCTGAGATTAGCACGTTTAAACAAATAAGGACACTCGTTAACTTTATAACATTATTATTGATGTTATAGATCCAATGAATCCTACTTACCATGTTTACTCAATACAATAAGGTCGTCTTATGTTTTATAGAAAAAAATTGGTTTTTATATTCTTCGAAGTAAGCGCAAAAAGAGTGTAAGTAAAATTTTGTTGTTTGAAAAAAAAACTCTGTGATGACCATCCTGTTATAATGTTTAAATTGTGTGAATTAAGCCTAAGCGTCCCTGGTTTTGAATCATGGAAGAACATCTTCATTATCTTCTTATTTGTATTGATGTAATTATATCAGTGAATCATGTAAAGAGTCATCTGTTCCTTATCCACGTAGATAAAACACAACTACACTCATAACACAATTACGACCCAAAATACGATACGACCAACGACACTAAAATCCTTATGTATTATGGATAAGTAATGTAAACTTTTCGCCTACATAATAATCAATAGCAAAATGGTTGTACGAAATATTGGCCTTTGCAACAATATAATAATTCTAAACATTATATAGATTAACAAACTATTTGGCTTGAAAAAATACTGCTCAAACTTATTGAAGGATATTTTTTCAATCTAAATGGATTTTAATATAAATAACGCCAAATGTGATGAAATATTAAAGATATATATTTTTTTGAAGCTAATACAAATTCACATACAGCCTTCTGCAGTAGCAAAGAAAAGTATCCTAGCAAATAGCTTCACAATTACATTAATAGAAGATTGTTATTGTAATGTGAACAATTGAAGAAGATTCATCACGCAATGTCTAATTCTCAAAATAGTTGTGTGACTCCATCATTTAACTACTAAATAATTAATATATTTTTTATTTATAACATTATTAATAATACCACAAGAATGGTTTACATTTCTAAAAATCACCAATTATTATACTTTGATTATTAGTATACTAAATTATTATATGACTTATTATCAGATGCATAAGGGGACTATGAGGGACAGGGCCTTTGCAACTGAAATGTTTAGAATTACATGAGCGAGGTACACCAAAAAACATACAATGAAATCTATTAACCATAATCCATCTAACTTTATTAGTTTTCGTTTATGTTATCAAAATTCATTTAAATAATCTATAGAGACAAGAACGGACGGCCTAATTCGTAGAGCTAAAGGTTATGTTATCGTTATATTTTTATTTTATCTATACTCATTTTATAAAGCTGCAGAGTTTATTTGAATGCAGTAATTTTGGGAAGCACTAGTTCGAATTCATTTTTTGTGTTGGTTGAAGCTTTTATCAAGGAAGGCTATAAAGCATCACGATTTAAAAA